TTATTTGCATTGAAATTACTAATGATCACAGCGGCTGGTTATATTGACAAGAATGAGAGATAACGATTTGAGGAAGTGCTTTCTTATTGAATGGCACCAGCAAAAAGTTAAGAAAAGACAGCGAAGTCGTTCAGTATAGCTCAGAAAGATGCCCCTGGGCGGAACATGTGAATGCGGAACTTTTCAGCTGCACCAAGTCAAAAAGACATACGGCGATGAAGTAACAGTCGATCAAAATAGCAAAAGTAACTACCGAGAGGCGCAGTAACCAAAAATTTATTCCACTTCGCCGTGATGATCGAAGGATCCATTTCCGGTTTTTATGTTTTCGAGTTTGCTGCCTGTGCTGTTGCCACCTGGCCGAAGCAAGTGCGCTAATGTTATGACTACTTTCTTTCTTCATCATACGCTTGCAAGTTCACCAGATTTCATATGGTCATGGACAAATGCATGCTTTCCAAAGCATGAAATCCAACACTGATACTTCTGCATTTGTGTTGGCCAAAAAATGTAAGCATTCACATATACGTAAGCATATGGGGCTTTGTTAACTAATTAAATCAGAAACCCATGCCAATAATGATTCAATGCACCTTGCACATAGTACAAATACCTATGGAGTTCAAGCTCCGCGGCTCTTGTACATGTCACACCCAGAAAGAATTCTTGCGTTTGTATTGGAAATCTTATTCCCCAAGTCTTTTTTATTTCCCATAATCTGCAGCTTGTGTACTTCAAACAGCTTAGAAAGGAACTATTACCTTCACTCATGCTGCTATAATAGTAATATCAAATACTGCTTGAAGATGAAGCTTCTCTGATTTTGCTGTTCTACGAAAACTCTACTGCCTGGAAATATAAAGGATTGAAAATTTATTTTCGTTTGGAGCTACCCGTAGAGTAAAGATCGGATCAGTCCCAAACTAATAAGGATCGTCACAAATTTTAAGCAGGTAAATATAAAAAAAATTTTTTAACGACTTCCATTTCTTTATGACTGCAAAGACAAATTTTTATTTAAATAAATAGCGAACCATTTTTCCCACCGGCAAGACAGCACGCATTGCTTATTATGCTGACAACAACTTAACGTCACGTGGTTCCAGCTTCGAAAGAAGTAAAACCTGCTAGAGAAAACATAGACATTGCTTGTGTTGCTAACATTTAGCGGACTTCACGTGTCGCAAGAGGTGCCAGCAAAAAAAGGTGAATACTCGCAGAGCCGCCGAACAGATTAAAGCGATAAAAGAGTGGAGGTCGTGCTGAAATTTTAAATCAGGAACCAAAACTCTCTTCGTATTCGCTCTCTACGAGTGGTGGACACACTTAAAAAGTAGCAGGGTGAGAAGGAAGTTTTGACAATAAACCTCGAATGTATCACGTTTTTGTTTAAGAATATGGAAAATCGAAAAATATTTTAAGCAACTCCAGTTAATCGAATAAACCCCTATGGCGCATAAGTGATTGTTTAGTTCACTCACTCGTGTAATCAGAAAAAGATTTGTCTGATTTGTTAGTTAGCTGAATTTGGCCGAACTTGATAT